TCAAGTGTTAGAGTGCTAGCCTTGAGTGGAAAAAGCTAAGGAGTAGTGCCTAGACCCTGAGATTCAGCCCTAATATTAACACACACACACACACACACACACACACACACACTCTTTCATGTGTCTAAATTCCTCCTAAATTCATGATGAAATTGAATCCCATTGTGAGGCTTTAAGAAGCAGGACATCCAAGAGAACTCTACCCTCATTGGTTAATCCAACCATGATGGATTAATGGGCTAATGGGATGTGTAAGTTACCAAGTGGGTCCGACCAGTCAGTCTAGTCCTTTCCCTCATCTCTCCATATCCCATCCCACTCCAGCCCTTTCAGGACTTTACTAGCAAGAAGCACCCCATCAGATAGGACATTGAACCTTGAATTAAAACTGTGAGCCAAAATAAACCTCTTTTCTTTCTTTCTTTTTTCTTTGTCAATTGTGGGGCTTGAACTCAGGGCCTGGGTGCTGTCCCTAAGCTTTTTTGTACAAGGCTAGCATTCTGTCACTTTGAGCCACAGCACCACTTTTGGGTTTTGAATGGTTAATTGGAGATAAGAGTCTCACAGGGACTTTTCTGCCTGGGCTGGCTTTGAACCGAGATTCTCAGATCCTGAGTAGCTAGGATTATAGGCATGAGCTATGATCTCCTGGTTTTGTGTGTGTGTGTGTGTGTGTGTGTGTGTGTGTGTGTGTGTATACGCACGCATGCTAGGGCTTAAACTAAAGGCTAGTGCTCTACTGGGTTTTTGGTGTTTAATTTTATATAAGAGTCTCCTGGACTTTCCTACCCATGCTGGCTTTGAACCGTGATCCTTAGAGTGCAGCCTCCTGAGAACTCAGGATTACAGACAGGAGCCATTGGTGCAATTTTTAAAAATTACAGGTTTACAGTTTTTACAGTAATTAAAATGAACACTAAAGCGTATTGGCTATAGAGCACCACAGATAAGAAGATTTGATATTAATTTAAGAGCATAAAACATTTCCAGATTCAGTTGAAATGGAATATTTTTACAGGGTACATGCACAGTTTTTTTTAAACCGTTTTTTAAAGCTTAACTTTATCTGTTTCCTTCATCATGAAACTGCCAAAGTCTGCAGAACACCGACAGTCACGTTCCATTTCATATGGTGTCACACACACCAGGAGAGCTCCCTTTTCTCTCTTCACACTCAACATCTGGGTCTCGTGCGCCATCTAGTGGCTATAGGAATCACTGGTGCCTGAGTGTTCCTGTGGTGCACTTTTACAAGTTTCTCTAAACATTATTTTTGAGAATTTTTATTTTTTTAATTCTAAGCTCACTCCCCTCCCTTTCGTAAGTCATCAGTTATAACCCCAACTCTACATTCATTATTTCTGGTCACACAATAACTTACTCAATATGCCTAAAGCAGAGTTAAGGTTAAGAAGATATTTATTAAAAGCATGTAACCCAACCTGAATTTCTATACAACCAGCTTTATTTATCTGGAGGGCAAGTGTAAATCATGTAATATTTAATACAACCCTTAAAATGAGGGAAATCTAGAGTGCTACTTATTCAGAGCACAGATTTGACTGACTACATTGCTCTAGATACTCTGCTTATTAATTTAAACATACTACACACTATCAATCATGTAGAAGAGTCACTGAAATTACACTGGTGACACCATATGACATCTGCCATTTAAGTGGCTGCTGAGATGTATCTTTTTTAGGGAGAGTCAGACATGGGGCTTGAACTCAAGGCCAGGGCGCTATCTCCCATCTTTTTCACTCAAAGCTAGTGCTCTTCGACTTTGTGCCACAAAGCCACTTCTAGTTTTCTAGTGGTTTATTGGAGTTAAGAGTCTCATGGACTTGTTTTCTGCCCTTTCATAAGTCAGTTATAACCCCACTCCACATTCATTATTACTGGTCATACGCAATAACTTACTCAATATGCCAAAAGCAGAGTTAAGGTTAAGAAGATATTTATTAAAAGCATGTAACCCAACCTGAATTTCTATACAACTAGCTTTGATTTCATTTTGAACACTACCTTATGAAACCTTTTGTATAATCATAAATCAGAAGCCAACATGGCTCACTTTGAACCAGTCTGAGGAAATTAATCAAATTTCCTTCCTTCCTTCCTTCCTTTCCTCCCTCCTTCCTTCCTTCCTCCCGCTCTCCTTCCCTCCCTCTATTCTTTTTGTTTTTGTTGTTCAGGTACTGGGGCTGAAACTAAGACCTCAAACTCTTGGCTGGCTTTTTCACTGCATTATACCACTGGAACATGTCTCTACATCTAGCTTTCTGCTGGTTGATTTTAGATAAAAAAGTATTCTGAATTTGTCTGCCTGGGCAGGTGTATCCTTAGACCTCAGCCTCCTGAGTAGATAGGATTGTATGAGTCACTGGCACCCCTTGTCTCATTCTTCATTTATATTAAAAATGGATAGTTGAGCCAAGTGTAGTGGTGTATGCCTGCCTATAATCCCAACACATGGGAAGCTGAGGTTGGAGGATCACAAATTTGAAGCCAACTTGAACTACAGAGATAAGTTCAAGGTCATCCTGGGATGTAGATCAAGACCTTTTCTTAAAATATCCCCCCCCAAAAAAAGTTACTTGATAGCTCAGGAGTCTATGCCAATAGATTAGAGTCATCTCTTGGGATTGGAGAGGAATTCCATGCTACCTCAGATATAATACTTGCTAGATGGTCAAGACTCATATAAAACAGATTTACATATGGCTAACAGGCATCTTCCTGAATATGCCGGGTACCCTTCCAGATATAACATCTAAGACAATGGAAATGACACATAAATAGCCACTATATCATTACAGAATGTCAAGACAACAAAGATTTATGGATATTCAGTACAGATGAAAGTTTTCATTTTTTAATATTTTCAATCCAAGATTGGTTGCGTCTACACAGTTGGAAAACCTCAGATCTACAGAGCCAACTATTTCTGTCTGCTAAGTGGATGGCTGTAAGATACACAAATTTGGGTTGGAGGTAGCACCCTGATGTGGTTCTAAGCTATTACTTACAGAATGATGACCCACCTGGATGAGTTCTCTAGGGTCTTTCTGTCTCAGGGCATTTTCCTTGAACGGTCCTAGCCAATACATCCATCAATTAAGTTGGCAAAGATGGGAAAGCTGAAGAAGAAAGCTAACAGGATGGGTGGCGAGGGGTTTTGGCTGATTAGAATGATGGGTCCTGATCAATACCATGTGTATACAATAGTTCCCAGAGTGGAAAGGTTTTATGCAACCTGAAGATAATGACACCAGAATGAAGATTCTGTCCTGTAGCCAGCCAGCGTGAGTCTATACGCTGCTCCCCAGGGAAGCCATCGCTGCAGGAGTAGCTCCACCTACAATACAACCGTGCATGTTTGGGCTGAAAGATGGTGATTATAGGTACAAGGGACGAGCTACATCTAGCCAGCAGCAATTCTTAATTCAGATAACAGAGCCAAAAGAAGTGACAATGTTTTGCATGTAACAGAGAAGTCCACAAATGAGACACCTTCCCTTCCTGTGGCATGAAGACGTACAAGGACCCAGGGATGAGCTGAGCTATCCGCACAGACAGGATGAGAGGACGGGCGGTGTCTGCTTTGGAGAAATGAGGAGTTCAGGACAGCGTGGTGAGGAACACGAGGGGCAGTGATGGAGAAGTTCAAGGTGAGCTCTGAAGGCATCACATTCATCCAGAAGGTTCCGAGAGCCAAAGAGGAAACTGTATACTGTAAAGACACCATGTCTCTGCCCTGGAATGTTACCCAGCATGTCTTGCAGAGGAGTAAGATGTTATGTGAAGTCTGGAATGGTGAGAAAATGAGCCAGGAGCCATGCTGGAGGAGACAGGATCCTACCAGCTGCATCTACTAGGCTGTTGTGAAAATCAAAACCCAACAATAGGAAATAGGGCTGAGTGTGTGAGGAAGTACACAGCGACTCTTCTCTGTGAGATGACCAGCCAGGCATACTTCCAGTAGGAAGCAGACTTGACTCTGCCATATATAAAGTCCATCGTGACCCTTCAACTCTGTGACTGCGTTTTATTAATAAAGCTAAGCTAGTTAATTGGCCTTCGGCATTCAGGGTGCATAATGCTTTTCATTGTGTTACATAAATGGTATCACATCTCCTCTCACAGCCTAAGTTAAAAACCATAAGATGCAATCTTTCAGTGTCATGGAGTTAAATCCTTTAATAGTGCCTGATTAAAAATCCTTTCTGCTGGGTGCTGTTGGCTCCTAGCTACTCAGGAGGCTGAGATCTGAGGATTGCGGTTCAAAGCCAGCCCAGGGAGGAAAGTCTGTGAGACTCTTATCTCCAATAAACCACTCAGAAAACTGGAAGTGTGGCACTGTGGTTCAAGTGGCAGAGTGCTCACCGTGAGCTGAAGAGCTCAGGCCCAAAGTTCAAGCCCCATGACCTACCAAAAAATAAAATAAAAATAACTAAATAATTCCTTTCTTTCTCTCACTGCCTTTCTCTGGGATAAGATGAATAGAAGTGTCTGTGTGAAAATGAAGCAAAAATGTGTTCTAGAACAAGAAGAACTCAAAATATATGATGATTCACAGAAGACAGATCACTCATATAGCAGAAATGACTCCATAGAAAGTCAGTAACAAGAACAGTCCACACTTCCTGTATGATTGTAATCACAATCTCCCGATGGGATGGAAACTGTGAATCACATGCATTCTTTGCCTTCATGATAAAGAGGTTGACTTAAAAACAGTGTCTAGGATCTGGGATAAAGACATAGTAAAGAGCATGAAAAGCTCTGGATTGATCCCAGCACTCAACAGTCTCTCTTTGTCCATGAGATCTTACAGGCATGAGCCACCAGCACCTGGCTTGTAAAAATGCATTCTGTCCAGAGGAAAGAAACTGATTCAAGACAGATAGCAGTATAAAGCAGTACAACAGCACACTTATGGCAGAGCCCTATGGGGCTCCCACTGACACGGAGGTGAGGGGCCCGTGGCGCTGTACCTGTGTGTGTCCTCCGATGAGCCTTCAGGTGAGAGCTTTTTGTGTACACTTTGTTGCATCCCTCAAAATCACATCTGTGGATGCGCCGTTTCCTGGAGTCGGGGGATTCGGAACGTCTCTGGCGCCTTGTGCTCTCGATACTAAATGGTGAAATTGAACTGGAAAACAGAAAAATGGAGTCATGGTGTAAGAAGCACATCTCTCTCTCTCTCTCCCTCTCTCTCCTCTCCTCTCCCTGTCTTCTCTCTTTTCTCCCTCCTTCTCCCTCTCTCCTCTCCTGTCTTCTAGCTTTCTTTTCTCCCTCCCTCCCTCTCCCTCTTCCCCTCCCAATCTCTTTCCTCTCTCTCTTCTCCCTTCCCCCCTCTCTCTCCCTCTCTCATTGTCACTCTCTCTCTAGTCTAGCTTAGAATTGGGTCTCATGATGGGGTGGCAAACCCCATAGCCACATGATCCTCGTGTCCACGTTCCCTGCCACCACCTCCTTGGACGTATCTTCTTTTCTCTTTTCTTCTTTTTAAAAAGATTTTTTTAAAAAAAATTTCATTATCCTTAAGCAATTGTACAAAGGGGTTTCCATTCAACCCATCAATCTATGAGTACAGTGCATCTTGATCCATGTCTCCCTTTCATCATTTCCCCCATCTCTCCCAACTCTATCCATCCGCTCAATTTACCTAGCTCCATTTTCACATCTGTATACTGAATATTATGTCTACATTTGCCAACCTTCCTTTTTCCATTGGTTTGCTCCCCCTTGGTCCCCCTACCCCAACAGCACACATTATAGCTTCCTGGTTTTCATTTTGTTAAACAGTCCGTTGTTCACAGGAGTTATACCACTGGAATCCTTCCCTGCATATACCATACTTCAGTTAACTATGTTTGTGTATATATGCTTACAACATTGTATATGTTTACACAGTTATAATTTAGATTAAACGTTCACATATAAGTGAAAAGTCCTTTCTCTGAGCCTGACTTACTTCACTTAACATATTTTTTTTTCCAGGTCCATCATTTTTCTGAAAATGACATATTTATTTCTGATGATCCTCACACTCTGGAGGCTGAGGCAGGAAGATTGTGAGCAAGCTCCAGGCCAGCCTGGGGATCACCGTGAGACACTGTCTCAAAAACCTAAATCAAACCAAATCAAACCGAAACTTAAACTAAGTGAAAACAATGCTAAGTAAATAAGTTTCCTAGTCAGGAAGACAAAAAATCCTATGGTAGTAAATGAACACCTCACAGTCTTGGACTTCTGAATACCCCTTACAGAGAATATTTTAGAAAGTCCTGCTCTAGACAAATGACAAAATACATCTATTGAAGAGTGTCTGCATTTCATGCAGTAACATAAAATTGTGCAGAATCACAGTGCGCATTTCAAAACAAGTGAGGTCAGGCTGAAAGAAATGGCACGAGTAGCTCAAAAACATGACTCATAGCAAGCTATTTCTGTGCAATAAAATGCACCTGACATTTAACTTTCCTAGGTGGTGGTTTCTTGTGGTCAGGAATAAAGTGCACTGTATTTAAAGATTAGCTGTACTACTATTATGAAAAATGTTTGAACTATAAAGTTTGGTCCTGACTTGCATGTTGTTTAATCTTAATGCTCCAGTAGAAAAACAGGATTAGTTTGCAATGTCAGGTAATTGATTAGCATGTACCTTTTTTCAAACCTTAATCTCTTTTGATTGAGACAGAAAGTATGACTCATCTTTTCTTACTTACCCATGAAGTTCTTTAGAGTTATTGTGAACTGTGATAAAAAAGTAATCACTCAAATTTCTACCATAAAATCTTACCAGTATTAATATTTTGACACATTTCAGTTTTTGTTTCGATACTTTTAAAAATTAAGTTTCTTACATTTTGACATATTTGTAATTTCCTTATGATTATATTTCTAAGCTAAAATTAGTTTTTCTTCATAATGTATCTTTTAGCTGAACATTACAAATAAGATCAATTTCCCATGTCTTCCTTTTCCCTCTTCCATGTAATAGTTCTACCATCCGTTTTATTTAGCTCACCAATTCATTTAGGTTATCTATATATAATCTGCATTCATAGGAATTCTTAATATCATAGGTTTAAAAATAGCTGAGTGCTGGTGGTTCACACCTGAAATTCTAGGTACTCAGGAAGATGAAATCTGACAGTCACAGTTCTAAGCCAGCCTAGGCAGAAAAATCTGAAAGATTCTATCTGAAATTAACCAGCAAAAAAGCTGGACTGGAGCTGTGGCTCAAGTAGTTCAGTGCTAGCCAAACAGGAGAAGACAAATAACATTATGCTGTTAAAATTACTCTAGCAAGCTATTCTACCTTTGAATATTAAACAGCTGAGATTTTTTTTTTTTTTTGGTCGGTAGTGGGCCTTGAACTCTGGGTCTGAGCTCTGTCCCTCAGCTCTTCAGCTCAAGGCTAGCGCTCTACCACTTGAGCTACAGTGCCACTTCCAAAACAGCTGAGATTTATCGATGTGGATACAAGTAGTTCATATCTATAATTTATCAATTCTCATACGCATTTTTCACATTTTAGCATTTCTAAAAATGTGGATGCTTCTTGCAATTGATGGCTTTTAATAATTCAGCTGGCATGTTTTTTATTAGTAGTACATAAAGTCCGTCTCATTTATTGATTTAAAATAGATGACATTTCAACTTAGCTTAAGGATTGGTGATTTTTTTCCTACAGAGTGAGTGAGTTTATTTAGTAAATAGTTTATTTCGGCAATTTTATTTATTTCAGTTAAAACTCTATAGGGTTTTATACTGTGTTTAATCAACTCTGAAATTGAATCACAGAAATAGCTATAGACAGTATGCAAACAAATAAAACTTTACAAAAGCACTGAGTTGCTTTGTTCATAAGCTGCTGTTTGCTGAGTCGTTACTTACAAAATCTGATAGCAACTCAGTAAACATTCATCCCAGAGTTTCAAACACCAATTTTGTCCTAAGTGGTGGACACATAAGACTGCTTGTAATACTATACTATTGCATTATTCCAATAAACTGTTTTTGAGTATTTCCTTTAGAATGTCTGCTTTTTACATTCTCAACATGTTGTTTTGCTTCTCCAAATATCACACTAGGTAACCAAAGCTTTATACTAGGTAAGATTAATTATAAATATTGTTTACCTTCCCATGTTGCAGTTATATGCAGGATCTACCCTCCAGTGGAAGAACATAGGTTATGCAAGGCTGAAATGTGGCTAAGTAACTTTTTTCCAACTTTTGTATCAATCAACGTGGATTTGTGGTTTTCTACATAATCAACCCAGTTTGTATGGATTGGAGTTTATTGTGAAAAGAGTCAAAACAGTGTGACTAGTCTATCCTATGAAAGAGCAGCTTTTAGTCACCCCTGACAAAGTACACTACAGCTCTGTATATGATCCATGTGAATAAGACTGTGTGTCATAACTGCACAACAGAAAGTCATTTCCTAAGTAAACAGTCATGGAAATAAAAATGGATTTGGACACAGGGACCTTAAAAATTTTGTCGTTTATTATGTTGTATGATGTTTAACATCTTGGTTTTTGTTTGTTTTTAAGGACAGGTAGGGCTGGGTGCCAGTGGCTCACTCCTGTAATTCTAGCTACTCAGGAGGCTGAGAGCTGAGGTTAACAGTTCAAAGCCAATCTGAGCAGGAGAGTCTGTGAGACTCTTATCTCTAATTAATTACCAAAAAAACAAAAACAAAAACAAAACAGCTAGAAATGGAGCTGTGGTTCAAGTGGTAGAGTGCTAGCCTTTAGCAAAAAAGCTTAGACTATGAGTTCAAGTCCTAGAATAGGCAGAAAAATAAACACGCTGCTGCTACCTTGAAATTAACATTATTCTGTAATAAGAACATTTTTGTATAGTACTTTCTGTACATTAACATGTAGAAGTCTATGCACTGTTTTCTCCTTGGTTGATTTTAGCTATGTAATTGTGATTCATTCATGTTTACCAAGAAAATTTAAAAAAATTGACATCAAAACCAATTAACTACTAAACGGCTTTAAAGGAACTAATGACACAATGGCCTGGCACAATACATCCACTATTACATAAACATTGGGTAAAGAAACAGAAGTGTTGGTGAAATAGTGTCATGAAATTACCTCAGCAGGAATCTTGCCTTCACATCAAAATCAAGACAAGTAGATGACCTTAATAATACCAGACTTCATTCCCTGATTTTCTTCATCCTAAAGTCAAACTATTTCAAAAATATTATGGAGAACAACTATCTAAAGTTATCTGTACAATAAAGGTAACTTAAAAACATGTAACCAGGAAAGCTGGTTTTGAAATGCTATTCCAAGGGGGAAATTTTGCCTTTTGTTCCCTCTTTGGAATAGCAAAGACATTTTCAGGAGATGTCTTTCATGACTACTTGATCTCTTTGCCAAAAAGTAAGAGGTCACCGGGGCCAATGCAAGAGAGGACGACAGACAGAGATCTTCAAGAAGACATCCAGATGAGAAGACACAGCAGCACCACACAGGACTGCGCTTGCACAGTGTCCCACGGTGCCCCTCTCACAGCGTAACTACAGAGTTAACAGGCACAGTAGATGAATAGCAACCATTAACTTGGGGTTTGACTGTGCTAAGTCTATGGCTAAGTCCAATATGGTGACAGGAAAGGTGCCAGGTCATTTTGTACCTCTACTGTTGGAATTTGAGAAATGTTTGCTAAACATCAATGAGTGAATCTAGCTAGCTATTCTTAAGGCTTCATTTCATAAACTTAGTTAATTTTTAATTGGTTACTGAATTCTTACTACAATTGATTGTGAGTTTTCAGATAACAGCAATTGAATTCCTTACTCCTAAACACATTTAATCAAGTTCCGGGTTTAAATGCTTCTGGACATCAAAGAGTCTGGCAAATCATTAAAACTGTATGTGCTGTTGGTGGCTCTCATGTGTCATCCTAGCTATTCAGGAGGCTGAGATCTGAGGATCATGATTCAAAACTAACCTGGGCAGGAAAGTCAATTGTCTCCAAATAATCAACAAAAAAACAGGGAGCGGAGGTATGGCTGATGTGCTCTCATGCCAGCCTTCAGTGAAAAAGCTGCGAGAGCGAGCAAGGCCTAGTACCAGCACTCACACACACACACACACACACTCACACACACACA